CTGACATGGAGAGGTGGCATCTTTCCCAGGCCGGGGGAGGAGGAGGAAGGCAATGCCATCTCTGGGTCCCTCCCTGCCCCTCTAGCCACAGGGACAACGCCACACACCTCCACAGAGCCGCCGTCTCCGGGGCTGGGTAAACACCCGCTCCGGAATTCCCAGCACACCCCGACAGAGGAGAGAAAAAGCCGTGAAAAAAAAACCCAAAACATAAAAAACAGAAAAAAAACCCACCACAAGATTTGACAGAAGCCCCGGCAGAGCCCTGTGCCAGAGAGCACCCCAAGCCCTGGCTCAATCCAGCACCTGCTCCCGCTGCCTGCACAGGAGCTGAACACCAGGAATGCCCCGAACCCTGGAAAAATCCCCAAAATAAAGTCCCAGGCCCCAGTCTCTCTTGGAGGAGCCAGACCCCATAGCTGAGCCCCAGGGAGAACTGCAGGGAGCCGGGTCGGAGCCGCAGCGGTTGGATCATCCCCGGCCGCTCAAGTCCAAGCTTTGCACTTCCCACAGCAGCGGCTTAGGGAGCAGGAAAGCCGGGGGGTGGAGGGATGGCCGGCATCAAAACTCCTTTTCTACCAGCTAACAAAAGACCCGGTGTCTCCGCAAAGAGGCTTGTTATTCCAACGCCAACCAAAGGCTGCTTGGCAGCGGGAGAAATAGGAAAACGTTAGGCTAGTGGGAACTGGCTGGGCTTTGTTTGGGGGTGCTGTGTTTGCACAGGGTCCACACAACGGGGGTGTCAGGGCCAGGGGGGTCAGGGCTGGGCTCCCCCTGACTGGGCTGCCCGGGTATGGCCGGGCTGGCAGCCCCCAGCTCTGGTGCCCTCATCCTGCTCTTCACAAATAAAGCACAGAGGCAAAGGGAGGTGTCCCCCCATCTTCTGCCTTCAGCCCCCCCAGGTGTGCCCCAAAAAGCAGCTCAGGGTCACAAGGAACACAAGGACAGAGGTGGCAGAGCTGCCACCCTAGAACAGGAGATATGCAAAGCCTCCTCTGAGAAATGGAGGTCAAAGAGAAGGAAGCAGCCGATTCCCTCCTCTTCCTCTGCAGATGGAGGGCAGGCAGCAACCTTGAGCCCTGATCTCATTAGATGTCCCAAACTAAGCAGTGTGAAACCTGATTAGCGCCGGGCGGGAGGCGGGCGAAGGAGCGGCAGCTCGGTCAGCCAGCCAGCACCAGCACCCTTCCACTGGACAGGGGTGGCCTGGGGAGCAGGGCACCCACAGCACCCTCCCCACAGCACCCAGGATCTCGTCCTGGTCCTTCTATGGGCTCAGCCAGGGTCATGGTTCGTGGCTGTGCCGTGCCCTGAAGTGATGTTTCATCCCAGCTGCTGCCGCCAGCTCCTGGCCGGCCGGCCTTGGCGTGCAGCAGCAGCAGAGAGAGAAACGTAGGATTAAAAAAAAAGGAGGGAGGCAAGAGCCTGAAACTTCTGTTCCCTAGAGACCTGCTCTCCCGCAGAGAACCTTAATCCCTGTTAAAAAGCAAATGAAATAATCCAGTTGCTAACATTGCTCTGCCCTCTTCATTCGAGCCCCAGATCTGCTGGACCCCACCAGCCTGGCCCAAGCCCAGCAGATTCCCTCAGCAGGGCTGAGCTGGACCTTTCCGGGACTAAAACCACAAGGCTACAGTGGGAAAGCTGTAAACCAACAGGAACCCTCAGTTAGGGCACAGCCTGCGAGTCCCCACAGCTGGCAGTGGTGCCCAGGGGACACTCACCAAGTGGCTGTGCCAGAGCAGCACCATCATCCCATTCCCAGGAGCGACCAGCCCCATCCTCCTCATACAGAGCGAGAGAGCCACGTGCCAGAGGAACCAAAACTCACCAGAGTCTCCACCCACAGTGGCTGGGGCAGATGGCAGCCCTGGATCTCTTATCACACCCGGCCACCTTGGGTGGCCCCAGCCTGGGCTGCTCCTCAGGGAAGCCACCACATGATGGGACGAAAGCAAACAGCGACGGCGGCACACGGGGATGAGCTGTGGTGCCGCTCCAGCACTGGCACCATGGCACACACCAGGGCAGGAGGCTGCTCCTGACTCCTGCTCCAATAATCCCTCACATCCCTCCGGCAGCAGGGCCAGCACGTAACACCTAAACCCCTCTTTTTTTAACAGCAGAAACTCAGCGGGGCCAAGAAACTCGTCACTGCGGGCACGTGCAACAATGGTGAGGCAGCAGGAACGAGCACGGACCCACTCATGGCTGCCTGGGCACAAGGAAAATCTGAACCCGATTCCCCTGGGGAAAGCACGTGGCAGCGACAAGGTCAGATGGAGCCAGATTAGCTGGCATGCACCGAGAGGGCCGAGGAGATGCCGGGTTTGAGCCAGCTGCCAAGTAAACAACAAACTCCTCAGAAAGCGAAACCAGCCGTCCTCGTGCTCCTGGTAAAATTAACCCAGCAATAAATTTGTAATCAAATGGGTTTCCTGAGCCGAGCCCAAAGGATCTGGTCACCCCAGGGGCCATGACAGACGCTGCCCCGGGAAACTCAAGATGGAAACTGTGTGGAAAGTCCAGGTGACCCTGCACCCACTGGGGCAGGGTCCCTCATGGAGCAGCATCTTTTGTCCCCGGCACAGAGGCAGGGATCTGGCAGGGTCCCCCAGCCCCATCCCAGCTGGGCGGGCTGGGGGCACTGGGATGCTCTCCAAGCCTTTGGGAGGAGATGGATGCTGGCACGGCGCCGGGGGTCAGGGGCCTGGACTTACATACACGAGCATTTACATATGAAACACTCCCAGCTCCAATATCCGCTGCTGCCTCCACCTCCCTGGGGAGATGAATAGAGATGAGGGGGGAGAAGGGAAAAGAAACCTCTCCAGCAATAAAACCTTGTTTTCCTCCAGCTCTGGCCAGCCCAGCAGCTCAAGGGCAGGCTGGGCCAACTGTTTTCAGCACTAAGAGCACACTTAGATCCGTGGCAAATGCCAAACAGCAACAGCAAGATGCATGGCACAATGTTTCCATGCCAGTGGGCACCACAGAGCCAACCATCACTGCCTGCAAAGGTGGGCATCCCTTCTGAGCTTGGATGTGTGGGGAAACCCCCCAGCAGCATGAAAGGGGTGGTTGTGCCCACTCAAAGAGCTGCTTGGCCTCCTCCAAGCGTAGAATCTCAGACTGGTTTGGTTGGAAGGGACCTTAAAACCAATCCAGTCCCACCCCCTGCCATAAGCAGGGCCACCTTCCTCTACAGCAGGTTGCTCCAAGCCCCATCCAGCCTGGCTTTGAACACTTCCAGCCCCTGCTTTCCTCCACACAATGTGCTTTCCTCTGTCTCCCTGCCTGCTCCACTTCCTGAATTAAAGCCACACAGGCCTGTATCACTCAGTCTGCAGGCAGCCAAACAGACCAAAACCCGAAGATTGGGGCTTCCTGGGGACTTGCCACCCAGGTTTTCATGTTCCCATTACAGGCTCGCAGGAGTGGAAAGTGCCACAGGCAACGGGATGTGGGAGCCAGCGCGGGAGCCAGCGCTCCCGGCAGGGCTCTGGGCAGCACCTGGAGAGGGGAATGCTGCCAGATCAGCTCCTGCAACCAGTCACCTTGTAAACGCGATTAATAACGTCGGGTTGGCTCCCCGCACCTCGCTCTCGCAGGCAGGAGGGGAATTTGCTGAGCTGCAGCTGGAAACGGGGCTGGAAAGCCCCGTGTGAGAGGTTCAGCAGCAGCCCCAAAACACAGAGAGGAGGGTCACTGGCACCCAAACCCAGCACCCAACCCTGCTCTGGCTGCCAAGGGGCTGCAGATGGGGAGGATGGAGCCGGTCACCACCCCCGGCACACAGCGACTCAGGGCTTCTTTCACATTGATTCCCAGTGCCAGCTGCAGCGAGGCTCAGGAAAAATTTATGATGGACACCACGGCAGCATAAGAAAGTGAATTATATTCCTCCCAGACGCGATAACTCAGGGCAGCTGTCAGCCACAGAGCTGCGGGATTAACCCTTCGCGGGAGGGTGGGGAGGCTGCCAGCCCGTGGTGACAACTCCCTTGGCTCCCTGCTAAATTAAACATGGAATTGATTCACCTTTGTTATACAATGGGATCAGCTGGTAAAGCCCAGCCGGGCTGAGGCCACGCTGTAAAAAGGGGCAAGTCAATGAGAGTGTTGTTGGATGACAGGCGATGGCATTCCAGGTGCCTTCTGTTTTCCGCTCTGCCTTCCTTCCGAGCAGGAGAATCCCCAGAGCTGCCTGCAGCGGGGTGAGGTTGGCTGGGAATTCCGGAGGGAAAAAAGCTCCTCTAACAGCGGGGAGGGATAAAAATAAAGGAAGAAGGGGGAGAAAAAGCAAGGAAAGCATTCCCAGAGCACCAGGTAAACTGAGCTGCTCTCCCGCAGCCCGGGCTCGCTGCCTGCAGCAGCGGGACAACGACCGCCTGCCTCCAGCCACCTGCCAGGGGCCAGCCCCGCAGGATCCGGTGTCCCAGCCGGCTCTCCAGGGACAGCCTGCGAGGCAGGAGAGGACAAAGCCCTGGGAAAGAGTTTTAGAAAGAAAGGAAGGGGGAAAACAGCAATCTGCACTCGGGTGCCACCGTGCACCCGCAGGCAGTGGGATCCATGCACCGAAAACACCCTGACCAAAGCCGGATCAGCCCCCATCCCATGGGAACAGCAGCCAGTTCCTCTCCCTTTAGCGGGAATTTGAGCTCAATTTCTTTTCCAGTTGTTATTTGCAAAGCAGCTTCCCCGGCCTCCCTGCACTGCTCCCAGGGCTGGGTCAGCCGCTGCCCCAGCGCTCGCTTTGTGCCCGGACCACAGCGCTCCAAATCCAAATAAAAGACAAAAGAGGGAAGTGAAGCGGAGCCATGGAAGGCACCACCCCTGCCGCCTGGGAGCTCCACAGGGAGCTCCTGGACATCCCGGGAGTGCTCGATTCGCCGCGATCGGATCGATGGCAGATGGTCGGGCTCAGCCGGAGCCGCAACGCCGGAGCGGCTCAGCCTCTCCCCGCGCTGCACATCCACACCACGGAGGGTGAGAAATACCTCTCAGGGTGCCGAGTCCACCCAGGAACTTCCTGTACTTCTCCAAGTCCATTTTCCAGCCGAACCCACCCCGCTGCTCAGCTGAGTGGCATCAGGGTGGCCCACAAGCTCCAGCCGCTGTCTCCAGCTCGGCATTCCCGCTGGAGTCCTCGCCCGTCGCCCTTTGACCACTGGCAGTGTTTCCTTATTAGATGAAGCACATGAAAACCTCCCATGGCTCGAGGCCACCCCCCTTTTGCAAATGAGCCCAGCGAGTGCCCCGCACCATCAGGGCCCCCCGGCATCCCTCACCCCACCCCTCCACGCCAGATTTCAGGGATTGTATGTCCTGGGGATATATTTCCAGCAAGGAGTATGTTTGAGGGAACTGGGAAGGCGAGGGAAGGAAAAAAAAAAAACCACCCAGGCTTCAAGATGAGAAGGCAGAAGACTGGGAACACACAGTCAGTGGGCAGAGCACGGTGTACCCATCCTGTGGGAAAAGCCACCCTGGTGACTCTGACACCAGCCCATCAGCCTGGGAGAAGCCACCAGAAAAAGTGTCAAAGCGGTGGAAAAATGAGCCAGGTGACACCCACGAGCAGATGGGAGGCAGATCCCTCCTGTCTTTGCCCCCTGACATTTGCCACATGCTCACCCTGCACTGGCAGCATGGTGCTTACAAAGCTGAAAAGGAGATTTACTGGTTTTAAAGGAATTTTTGGCAGCAGGAACCAGCCCAGAGGGGGATCCAAGCACCTGCCCCGCTCACTGCTGCCCTTCAGCAGGACTGCTGTCCACTGGGCATGGACCAGCACTTCTCTCAAATCAAATAACTCGTAATAACAATAATAGCATCAGAGGTGTTGAAATGAGCTGTCATGGAGGTAGATCCTGCTCTCCCTGTATCCGGAAAGATCCCAGCAGATTGAGCAAGACCCACCACACAGTGCAGGATCTGCCTCCCTGGGTTCCTGCACCTCCCAGCAGAGCCACCCTGTCACACCTGCACAAGCTTTGAGCTTTGCCAGAGGAAGAAGGGAGAGAAACCAGAGCAAGAATGTGCTGCAGGAGCCAAATCTCCCCCCAGAAACCAGGGGTGGGAGCTCCCTGTGTCTCGGGGGGGCAAGGAAATCCCCCTTATCCATGAGTGCATGAATATCCCAGCCCTTTCACCCTGTGTTGGGGTACATCCCAAAGCAAGCAGCATCCCACAGCAACGCCCCACATTATCCACAAAAATATTAATAAAGCCAAAACACTCATGGAAGCGGCCCTGTGTCCACCTTCTCCACAGCTCCATGGACAGACAGACACCCCTCCAGGGGCTGACTCACACTGGGGGTGTTGCTTTCCATTGTGAACGGAGCAAACCCAGCAGGCCAGTTGCCGCCTGTGCCCCTGACAGCTGTCTGCCTGGGAACCAGGGAACCAAAATCCCTCTGGGAGCTCCGAGGGGGAAAGAGGGGCAGGTGCCGAGGTGCCTCCCTCGCACTCTGATTACACCAGAAACCTCTGCACCACCCGTATCCATCACTGGGCTCTGGTGGGATGGAGGTGACACCTGGAGATGGCACTGCCTTCAAGAGGGGCTGTCTGAGCCTTGTGGGCTCATTGTTGCAGCAACAAGGAGCTGATCTGATAGCCAGTGAGTGGCCACATGAGCAGCCTGGATTCAAGGCTGGAGCTGGAGGTGCCTGGCTGGCAGCCCTGCTGCATCCCTGGCATCGTGGGGCCGCTCCCACAGACAGCCCCCCGCGCCCGTCAGCAGCGCCGGGAGCAGAATAAAGTTGTTGCGAGAAGCCAAGTTGTCACCACTAAAAATAGCACAATGGAATTTTCCTCTAAGAACAAAAAAAGAAAAAGGAAAGAAACCCTGCTTCTTGCTGACAAAGGGGCTGTGAGAAGGAAGGGAGGAACAGCCCCACAGAAGGGGAGCAGGGGGACATCGTCTCCTTCCCCTCCCACACCCCCAAACAGGCACAGAAGGAGAGCTGAGCCCATCACAGGGGAACAGCAGCACCGTCAACATCCCACCTGAATTATCCCCATCCTCCCCTTCCCAGCAAAGGGGAGACACCAGACACCACCAGGATGGGCATGGCAATCCAGCAGCTGCTCCAAAATTACAATGGTGGGAGGGAGATGCAGCTGCCCAGAATTGGCCCCTCCAGCACCACAGCTCTCCCCCAGCACCCACCGTGGCTCTGCACCCCCAGGGTGAGCAGGGTAACCCCACACTTGTGAGGGGGTCAGTGCCTCCCTCCTGCTTTGCTCCCTAATGGATCTAACACGGAAGCAAGTCAGCAGAGTGGGAAGGCAGCTGGAACCCACCAGTCCCCCCAAACCCCGTGGTGATGGGGAGAGCGGCACTTCCCTCCTCCCATCCCCAGGGGGTTAATGGGAAGCAGGTCTGACGCCACCAAACCCTATCCACAGGCATCCCAGCTCCCTCCATCCACAAGCATCCCGGCTCCCTCTCCCCGCCGGGAACGCCAGGAATTCCTGGAGGAGGGAGAATCTTCCAGCTGGCTCAATCAGCAAATCAGCACAGTGAGACTGGGGGGAGAGTGAGGGGAGCCCCCAGCTCCTGCCATGGCCACCACACAGCCAGCCTGCTGAGGAATCCCAGCATCTCCCAGCCCGGCAACTGCCCTCCACAGCAGGAACGAGAAGCATCCCAAACAGCCGGGGAGAGGATGAAATATCTCCACAGGCAGCGTCTGGAGCCGCCTGCAATGAAATCATGGCTGTCCCCTCCAGCCTCATCCCAGGGCACTGCCCCCATCCCAGTGTGCAGCTGGGGGGCTCCACTGCCCTTCCCCACCGTCACCAGCAGTGGGGCAAGGGCTGTTCCAGCCATTCCAAGGACGCTGGCGGAGCCAGGGGAGGGAGGTTTGATCCAGGGCACGCCTGGGGCGCAGGGTGCGTTTATTTAGGGGCAGCCTCACCAGCACGGCTGCACCACCACCACCCTGGCGAGCCCCCAGAAGGGTCACAGGGATGGCCACGGACACACCAGCTGTCCCCAACATCACTGTAGCAATCCTAGTGTCAACTGAACATTCCCGAAGCAGGGAGGTGGTGCAGGGGCATTAATTAACGCTCATTAGCTGGCAGGGGACCGCTGGGCTGGGGAGACGGCTGGAGACGGCCGGCCCTGCTCCACATGGGAAGGAGTCGTTCCCACAGGATAGTTTTTACCGGTAGGGCTCTTGTAGCAAAACTGCCCAAGGTCAACACGAATCTCTCTGCCACGGGAGCCCTTGTATACAGTTTCCTGCAGGGAAAAATAAGCTGCTGGCAAAAGCATTTCTGAAAGGCCACAACGGACCCAAATAACGATTAATAAAAACCAAGACAAGTTACACCCTGATCTGACACAACCAGATGTCAGCACAAACACCCCACCGGGATCAAGGCACTGCAGGAGCTGGGCAGTGGGTTGGGAGGCAGCAAGAGCAGAGAAAGGACTTAGGAGCAGGATGGGGCAGAGCTGATTTCAATCCCAACCGTGCCAGGACCATGCCTTTGACTTGGGCAGGGGTCCCAGCAGAGATCAAGGTGAGCAAAAGCAGAGGCTGGGAGAGAACACAACCCACGCAGGTGCTGTAGGGATGCAAAACAGAGCACTCATCACCTGTGGGAGGCTGGAAAAGCTTCCCCAGCATCATTAAAGAATGCTGGATGCGAGCACAGTGAGGGCAGGGAGGGCAGGCGGCTGCCGGCACGCTCGGACTCGCTGGAGGGAAACAGGGCTCAACAGGAAATGAAAAATGGAAATGCAGCATGTCACGCACAGGAAAACAACAAAATAAATATGATTGTGGCCTCGCAGCACCCAGGGCTCACTGGCCCAGATCGCTGATAAACAGGGGAGTGACAAAGGGACGCTCCTGGCACTGCAAGGATGTGGCTGCAGGGACCAGGCACAAGCACAAGACCTGCAGCCAGACCTGTCTCATCTCTGCTGGTACCCAGAGACCCAGGATCCCATCTGCACTGCCAGAGCCTGCTCATGGCTCTGCTCCAATGGGGCAAGAGGGAGCCTCAGCTCATCCTGCTGGGATCAGCATCCCACTTATCAGCCAAAATCTCCCAAACCACCTCAACCAACAGCCCTCCCCACTCCCCCACCTTCCAGGAATTTCTGGGCTTATCTGACCTAGAAGCAGGACACACATCTCAGATCACTTCCCAGGACTCACTTTACCATGTCCACGGCCAAACACACCAAATCTGATCACTCAGCCTCCCGCCCCACCACACATTTCAGTGGGAAGCTGATGCTGGAGGATCCCCCTCCCCGGCCCCCAAGCCGGGTGGGATCCATCCAGACGTGAGCTTGGAAACGAAACTTCCCAGCTTATTAACACAAGCATCCTCCGTGCTTTGCAGACGCTGCCGTGCAGGGAACTTCCTTGGCAGTTTCCCTTTCCAAGCTGGAGGCTGTTTGAACACCCCCAAACCCAGCTCAGTTCCCCCCCCCCAGATAGGGTAGTGCTGAGAACTTAAGTCTGGAGCTTCCAGCAAGCCTTGAGAAAGAGTGTCTGGAAGGAGAAGGGGGAGCTCGAGGCCAGCATCCAGCAGGGATGCTGCAGGCCTGGCTGCTTGGGATGGAGGATGGGGATGTCCAGGTAGGGGGATCCCACTACCAGGAAGCTGCTCTGCTCCCTGTGCTGGGGAGAACATCACCCTGCCTCCACCACCTCCCAGCACTGGCTCTGCTGGTTCCCACCCCTGGCTCTGCTGGTTCCCACCCCACCCGCAGACTCCGATGGGATGGGAAAGGTGTGAGCAATCAGTCAGGGTGCGGAGAGGAGCCGGTTTGAAGGTCCTGCCCACAGCCCTGGGAAGGTTCCCTCTGCACTGCCGTGCTGGGGGGCACATCACGGGTGACGGCCACCACCAGCCCCACAAATTAGTGCTCCCACCGTGTCCCTGCTCCTGGCCCCATCCCAGGTGTGCCAGCACACCAACCACTGCACTGCCTCGCCCCAGGGGCAGCGATTGCCTCATCTGCCTGGAAAACTCAGCTGGCGTTGCTAGGATCCGTCCACAGCACACGGAGCTTCCAGGGCAGCAACGCCCTGGGGACGGCCGAGCCACAGAGAGCAGTGGGAAGGGCTGGATTATTTGAGCTCAGGGAGTGGGGTCCCTTCCAGGGCTTCCCTGTCTGAG